GAAAGAACAGAGCCTATATATATTTGTATGTGTATGTGTATGTATGCAAATAGATTGAGATATAGGTACGTGCAAGTCATTGCTACCTAGCAAACAACAATAGAAGAGGAGCGGGCTCGCATGGACTACCATAGACGGCTCGAGACTGTATGTTCAAACTATCGTTTTCCCTTAACACAAAGGCAAGCCGCCCCTCGCGAATAGAGGAGAATCATCCTAAAGAGCAAGATGGATCAAGTTTGTGCAGACATATATGTTGCCTCCTAATCCTAGGATGATTAGCGCAAGCTCTCGGCAAACAACTACCCGGCCACGTAATCGACCGGCCTTGCAGTCGTCCGGTCCGAAAAGATGTCAGATAGATCTGTCGACGGGCCCCAAAAGCCAAGTCTACGAATAGACTAGGGTATCCTCGCCATACCTAAAGTATTTAAGGGTACATAGTGTAAATGTGCACTAACCTATCTCTATAAATAGGGGGCAACTTTTTACTGTTGAGGTGGGTGTCATTGCTCGCGCCTTCTCCCAAGATTTTAATCATTCTATTCTTTAGGCGTGTCCCCAGATAGATTTGGATTGTTCATCCTAAAAAGTGCGGTGAGAGTGGAGACATACGATCAATAGGAAGTGCACGAAGATCCCAAAAGGAAGGGAGTGACCAAAGGGTGGTAGCTAACATAGACCCCTGCGAGACAACATATAAGAACACATGCAGAGGAGAATGCAAAAGATGTGGACCCAGATCATGGAACAAGTGATGGGCCAGATCGCCGAAGTCATGAGAGCAGTCGCACCCCTACAGAAGGTCGGGCCCCACCAGTGCAGAACAAACCTCAGGAGGTGGCGTCGGCACACAACTGCTGAAAGCCAGCCGGCAAATCCCAGTATTAAAACAATGTGAGATCCGCACAGATAGAAAAGCAACGAGTAGGGAGCACTAAAATATCGCGATAGCTGAAGAACGCGGCCTCTAACAAAATATCTAGAGCGAAGCCCCCAAACAAATTCAAGTATCCAGCCTTAGACGCCTACAGAGGACGATTATACCCCAATGACCATGGTAGCTACATTTAAGTCGGCCTTTGAAGTGGTTCCATGGGCTCCCGGCTAGAAGCATCGGTAACTTTGTCGATTTTAAGAAGTTCTTAGCACAATTCGCCCACACCCGAAGGCCCACCAAGAGTGCCCGGTCCTTGTGGCAACTCAAGCAAGCAGAACACGAGAGCCTCCGCGCTTCCGCAACACATTTCCAGTAGGAAATGCTAGAGATAAATGACCTCAAAGTTGAAGCGGTCGTAGCCACCTTAAAGAAATCCTTAATTTCCGAAAGATTTACCTACGACCTCAGCATTTACGAGCCCCAAGACTTGGCAAAACTATTGGAGCGGAGGAAGCACTCCCAAGCAGGAACTGGAAGGCCGCCGGCCAAGAAAAGAGCTCCCCCCGATGCGAGTCAAAGAGAAAGGAAAAACAAAGATCATTTGCTCGACACTATTTCGAGCAAGGCCCGTCCGCCCGAAACAATGGAAGAACCGACCGATATCACTAGCACAACGGGCAAACAAGAAATCGAGATTCTCGATCAATCTGGTACTACAAGAGATCAACGCAACGCTACGAGCAGCCATTCTGGGATAAGGAAGGCTTACGAGCTACTCCTCTGAGGGTACCAATGGCAGAAATTGTAGATGTCATCCAAGGCAAAGACTAGTTCAAGAAGCTCGCACCTATAAAGGAAACATATAAGTTTTATAATTACAAAACCAATATACTTACAAGGGGCCAACTATTCAAAATACATACAACAAGGATAGAGGGAATAAGAAAAGAAAAGGAGGGGTTTAGACTTCGGGAGGCCAGCTGGATGAGCCCTCCTCACTGTTAGCACGCGAATCATCCCCAGATGACTCCTAAGAGTTGGAATAAAGGGAGGCAAGCTCTCTAGGGTCTGAATATTTAGGATCAACCAGACTTGACCAGATGAAGCGATCAATTGCCGTCAAACTCTCGAAGCGGAGTTGCTCGTCCAGAAGTTTTGCCTGTCTAGGGGTAAGACAAGAGCATCAAGAACTTGTCCTTAGATCTCATAACAGTCATTTTCTCCTTCAATCGAAAATTTTCTACAGCGAGAAGTGGAAGCAATCACGAAATCAATGAAAGTTCATCCGACACCAAGGCAAGCTTCTTCTCCGCTACCATAGCCCGCCTCTCTTCCTCTTGAGTCAACTCAATCGACGGAGACGCAAGATAGAAACATTTAAAGAAGACTGTCAGTCGCGGCGTCAAGATCATCCGGCTAAGCATTAAAGAGAAGAAAGTCAGTCGTGGCGCCAAGGTCACCTGGTTGAGCATTGAAAGAACAGAGCCAGCCATGGCACCAAGATCATTCGATTGAGCATTAAGAGAAGAAAGTTTCTTGTGGCATCAAGGTCATCTGAATGAGCATTAAATAGAATCTGCCAATTGTATTGCCTAGAGCCCCCAACAAAATCGAGAAACATCCCTAAAAACATGAAACTTCGAGAACGTCGGTGACCGGATGAACCCTAAAAATGCGGAGGAAAATGTTCTGGGGGATGGAAGGTTGGAATACCAATCTATCGATCGATCAATGGTGGCAAACCAGCCGTCAATTGAATTCCAGATCTTCACCCCGAGGGCTTGAGAAGGAATCTTGTCCGACGGAGCCCTTCTTTTTCCTTGGCGACCGGGGAAGCAGAGGAACAGGTTTGATAATTGGCGCCTTCCCCACACGGCGCCAAGGTCCAGAAGTGAAGTAAACCTCAACCTCGATATCCCTAAGAAATCGCAAGGCTACTGGCCTCAATCCTAAAAGGAAGATCAATAGATGGGTTCCTTGGCTGGGCAAAATCGTTTCTCTCCCCACCACTCCCGTGGGATCTCTCCTATTCGGACCTTTCCCGGATTACCATTCAGTTTCTTGCCCTTCATGAGAGGCAACATCAAAAGGATAGTTATTTTAATTAGTAGGAACCTTGCACTACGTGATAATAAAGACTATAGCTTGGAACAAGACCATTTTGAGTCCCAACCATGGAAATATAAGCGCAAAGAAGGAAATTCTTCACCAACTTGGTTGGTCTCTCCGCCCATTGTAGGCCTTCCCTCCAACGACGCCGCTACCCGACAAGAATCATCTGCCCTCACTTGATCCTCCGCCTTCCTCTTTGTCGTCCGAGCGGCCGCCTCTTTAGATCGACACAGCTCCACAACATCGGAAACAATCCATAACTTCACAGGCATATGGTCTGCAACCTTTGGGGACTGAACCCGATCTAAGATCATCGAATCAGTATACGGAGGAATCGAAAGCAATCAGCCCTCAAGATCATAGGGAAATCAGTACCCTGCTTCCGAAAGGAGATGCTGGACGGAACAACCCTGATCGCCCAACCCTCGGTGGAATGAAGAACTCGCACCTCCAATCCCTAACAAGGTGCTTTAGCCCGACAAACTGAAACCTATCGGTTGTCCCAAAATTTGCTAGAATAAACATTTTTATTTATACCAAAGAATAAGATTACAAGCAGATTCAGTCTGATAGGAAATATTTCACCAACTGGTCCTCAGCCGCCTCAGCAAGGACCAGACCACTCCTAGCTAGCCTCCTAAATAAAGCCTGGTCATCGAGCTTAAATTGATTCACCCGATTGCCTTCAGAACTAACCCTCAAAGCAAATACGTCCTCTCAAAGTCCGAAAATCTCGCAGCAGAGCCGCGACTTATTCTCACTATTATTTTAGCCTGGCTTGTAAGTCTTGATCTTGACTGGTAAAGATCTCCTCTAGTTCCGTGAGACGACATCCCAGAGTTCTGGGAGACAGCCAACGGGACTCAGGGATATCACCGGAAGTCGCGTCAGGCCCAGTAAGGCGGCTAACCACGTCCTCTTCGTCAATGACCAACGCATCGGGAGTCTGAGCCTTCCGTAAGATCGGACCGACGATCCCGACAAGCAATTGGCCAACACAAGGGGCCGCATTAGAATATATATATATATATATATATATATATATATATATATA